ACAATCTGTTGCACCATGTAGGAGATGTCCTGGAGGTACATTTCAACAAAAGCAGCAGTTAACGCATCCAAAAAAATACTGACCTGTTCTGGAAGGCCATGATTAGGCTATCTTCTGAAAAGCCAGCAATAGCAGGGATGAGCCAGGCTGCTAGTTGTCTCTGAGACCGCCATACCAATCATGAGATTAAAAGCTAGATACAGCATTTCTCAGTAAATACCTCGGTGTGGCATTTATTAAGAACTAGTTAATGTCATTACAGTACCACAGCTAGGATGCCAGTGGATTTTACAATGGTTGAACTAGAAGGAAGAGTGGAAGGCAAGAAGGGTGGAAGAGCAGCAAGACCAACACAACAGCAGTGAGGATACAAGAATGATTAGAAACACAGGTACAAAACTAAAACAAGTTTTTACGTGGGAGCTGCAGGCCCACACACCCAAGAGGTGTACTTAAGCCCCAAGATTGCTTGGAAGCTGTGGCTTTTCCTGGAATACAGTAAAACCAAAAGAGCCACCTAGGACCCAACATCAACTCAGGTTTGCACAGCACCATGATAATTAAAGAGAGCTGGTGGCACGTTGGACAATAGAGGAAAAGTATTAGGGACCGATCAGTCTCTCTCTTTTCCGCACCTACACACACACATGCACACACTTTCAGTAGTTATAAAGCAAAGTGTAAATGTAAACATCACATCCCAGACAACTGAAAAATTACATTTATCATCCTTAGCAGTTTTTAGCTGGCTTTCCAATCAGTAACTGCAGCAGATCTGTCAGACAAAAATGAAAAGGAGAAACTCTATTGTACAAACGACACCACGAACCACCTGAAGGGACCAGCTGGTTTTCTGACATGTTCTGAATGTAAGACTGCAACGTGGTCATCTGTAACTTTGTTCACATCCTCATACAAAATGCTTGGTTCAACTCTAGTTTTGCACTTGAGCAGGCTAGCCTTGAGGCTCTTTCAGTGGTAAATGTCTGAGTGCTGACGGTTCTCTAGGGTTTTCCCAGGTAGAAAAATTCAAACACAAACCACCATGAGATTTTCCCAAAGTCCCAGCACAGCACCAGCAGGGACCCCAAAATTCAACTGTGCTGAAGCTAAGTACTCCAATGCAAATGTCAGAGAACAAAGCACTGCTCATAAGTCTTACCATGGCTTTATTTTCTTTAATATTCATGGCTCTCTTAAGCACAGCACTGGAACTTTCCTCCTGTGTTTCTTTAATGTCTTCTTCAGACTCTGAAGCAGAGCCCTCTAGTTTGTCCCACCGCTTGCAGCTTACTTCTTTTGAAAGAGGTGTGAGGGATTCACTGTCCTTTAGAGGTAAGTTAGAAAAAGCCTGGTCAGGCACTTGTTTCTCAGACGACTTTCTGGTGGGAAACTGCAAGGCAACACGAAGGCCAAAGCTTCTTCTCTTGGGGGAAACTTTCTTCTTCGCCTCTTCCTCCTCTTCTTCCTCACTACCCAATAAATTACCACGTTCTTCATCACTCAAGTCCAACTCCGTTGCCTAGAGGTGGGAAGAATCCCGTATTACATTATTGGCTGTTACACAGGCAAGTCCATTTTTAAGTCACTAATTCTAGGCAGAAGTCTCACCACCCAAAGGCACTGACATAAATTCACCTAAATCAACAAATATTTAAGAGTTCACAGTACACAACTTCTCCCTGTGCAGAGACCAACACAAGATCTACATATTAATATTGTCTGGGATACAGACATGGCTGTCTTCAGAGGAACAATCTTGCCCAGCACAGTCAGTCTACAAGCAGGGGAAGAAGTTCTCGTTTCTAATATGTGATGTTACATTAAATAAAGCCTTTTTTTCTCTTTTAAGATAACACATATTTTTCTGCAGCATGAAGAAAGAACATCACAGTGTATCAGAAACACTCCTACTAGAACATGAGGTTCACAGAGAGAAAAGAGACAGAAAAAAAGAAGTCAACATATACATTCACATGTAGGTGACTGCCTTTACCAGAACTCCTTTCTTGTTTGCATCCACCTCACTTGAAGTGAAGCCTTCAAATGGTTCCGTTTCAGAGTCAGTGTCTTCAGTGAAAATCCTCTGCAGTTCTTCAGTGAGGTATCTGGACTGAAGTCGAACCCCCTGTAAAAATACCAGCCAGTAGCTGTGAGAGACAGTCAGAAACAGAGTAGTCACACAGTCAAAATAAACAGGTTCTGAGGCTCAAGCAGGTACCAACTAGATGGCATATACTGTGAAAGCCCTTTGCCTGTCAAAAGAAAAAAAGCAGATGGCGTTCAGAGTTTCAGCACTGCGTTATTTTAACTTAGCAGGATTTTTTTTTCCTCATTTTAGCACAGGGCTTTAACTGAGCTGCTGATTGTAGGGGAAACTTTCTTCTTCATTGCCTCCTCCTCTTCTTCACTACTACCCAATAAAAATAAACTATCAGTTTTCTTATGTGTAAATTATCGTGTTGTTTTGTATGTTTTGTTCTGTATGTAAAAGAAGAAGCCTTGAATGGAAGAAAATGCAAACCACAACCACAGTGACAAAGAGCCCTCCTTTTTTCACTTAGCATTAGAAACAACACTCACCTCTGGGTTTGCTGCAGCAGCACTTAAGGCTCTTGGAGATGGAGTCTGCTCCTTCTTACATTGTTACACCATCACTGAAGTGACTGATGCCAACACAAACCACAAAGCTTTCAACAGCCTGACTAACATCCCTCCACCTTCCGACTGCTCAACGCTTTCTGTTTTAATGGTGCAGTTTTATGATTCAAACGTGTTCTAGGGTAGACAGACTCCAAATTTCTGCCTACAGATTGAGGAAGTAAAAAGCCCATGAAAAATAAACCAAGGTCTTATTAAAACACTCTTCATGATACGCACATTACATACCAATTAAACATGATGCATTTACTAAATCAGAAATTTATTTCCATACTTCCAATCAGAATTAGTAGAATACCATCTGTCAACTTGTCCCTGTCAGTCTCCTGAAAGACTTGTTCATAGTAGGAACATAACCCATGTTCACACCACACCTGCCTCTTGTAAGTAACAACACTGACTTCAGTTTGTTTCCCCGTTTTCCTCTTCTATTTCTTTCTTCCTTGCAAGATACAAAAATGACCTTTCATACAACGCACTTGCAAAATATCTTTATTCTTCCTTTCAATTCCCCCCCTTCCCTGACTTTTAATACACACTTCTTTATGTTAGGATAATATCTGGTGAAAAACAGATACAATGGATGAGTGGGAAAACTCTCAGGGGAATGGGAGGGGGGAGCTACTGCATATGCTGTTTCTTTACACATAAACATCTCCTACAAATTATTATGGGTAATTGGAATGAGTTTTCTCTGGGCAAAATTACTTTATTCTTTTGTTGGTAGCTGCAGTGCAGCTGCTTGAGAAAGGAACAAACACAATAGGGAAGTTACTTTTAAGTTAAATTGCATTTTTTGGAGGGAAACTAAAGTTTTTATGCATTCTGTTTTCATGAAATTTCACAATGAAGGTTGGGGTGGGAGAATAAGCTGTTTTTTAGCTAGAATTGACTAAAAATAACACACCTAGAGCTATGCTGTTACACCTATGAAGAACGGTCTACAGAAGGCAAAATACACATCAGGGATACCTATGGGAGAACCAGCTGGAACTCAGAAGTGCAGAGGTTATGGGAGTAAGATTGCAGAAAGCCCTGAGGAACAGCAGACATGCAGAGGTCGCTACTTGTTAATGCATTTGTGCAACAGCATCCTGATGCACTAACATCCCATTTACCATCCCAGCAGGGCAGCTGCCTTGTCTCCTCTCCCAACAACTGCAGAATTTTTCTGAACTTCCCATCATTTTGCTCTTCACACCAAAACCTTTTCGTTTCCTGCACAACAAAATCATGTTTTTATTGTACCATTTAGTGCTAAAGGAGTTAAACTCAATACTGATGGAGATTTAAAATAATTCTCAGCCCAAGGGAAACGCAGGAATGGTGAGGAAGGCTGCAGCACCAGCTGTAAATGTGGAACAAGTCTCACTGGGATTCCCAGTAACGCATGTTAAACTAACAGTACCTAGCTCTTCCACAGCATTTTTCATCAGAGGATTTTAAAATGCTTTGCAGCAAAGATCATTCTCATAATCTCCATCTCACAAGTTGAGAAACTGAAGTGAAGTAAAGTACGGTGCCTGCAGTCTCCAAAGCAGGCAGGAGAAGTTCAGGCTCCCGCACAAGGCTCCCTCTCCACCACCACCTCTCCTTGTTGATCCTTCTTCATGCTCCACACAAAGCCACAAATACAAGAGCAAACTACCTCCTGGTTTTCTGCGGTTACCAGTACTGCCATCTAGCAATAACATTACAAAGCAATTTAGAGGCCAGTATATTGCACTACATTTTAGCCACAACCCTTCTCCATAGCACAGACTGTGGCTCTACCCCCACATGGCTCCTGCATCCTCCTGAGGTGTCCTGGTTTAGCCAAACCAGGACTATTTCTCCTTTCAGGAGTTTTTCTTTCAGTTAAGTTTCTTCTAAGTAAGTGCACTTTCTGAAAGTATAGACAGTGTCTGTGTTTCAGACTTGGTAACGCTGGATATCTATAGTTGCTACTGAAGTATCAGTAGGATTGGTATGCAGAATGGCCCGTGTTTATACTCATCCCCATGAGAACCAAGGCCACTGCTGGCCTTCTTTTGTTAAGCGAGTAAAAAGTCGTAAAAGGGTCGCACCTGCAGAAGAGTGCGGACGGGACAGTGCTGGCCCAGGCTTAAAGAGTGACATGAGGCCATTTGCCTACAAAGGCTCAGAAATAGTACATACTCGTACAAGCCTCATTCTGTCTGCTTCCTTTGCTAACGCTAGTCATATTCCTTGTCTTCAGCACCTCTTAACCAGGTACTGACCTGATGGACTAGGAAGAGTAAAGGGGGGGGCGGGGGGGGGGAAGGCATTTTCAATTTTGTTACTAATGGAACGGAGGGACCTTTTTGAGAGCACAGCTGACAAACGTATCTTTTAGCACATCAGCCCATATCTATCAAGTATATAATTATAAGCTTCTGAAAGACTGAAAACAAAATTTTCCAGCAGCCAAGATAGCACACCAGTTCTCTTCCTTTCCTGTGAATTCAGCTGGTACCTCCAGCTACCAAATCAGAGAATGAAAAATATTAGATCATTATGCTGATCCAAGCTACTTCACCACTAAGAGCAGAGAACCAGCAAATCTCACAATTGCAACTGGAGCTGATGGTTTCTTGGGTCACCACCACTAAAACATGATTTTAGTGCAGAAACAGCACTGACATAAATTAGTGCAGAAACAGCATTGAGGTAAGATTCTGGAAGAAATATCTTGAAGTCTGCACACTCACAAATACCTATCTATTATCATTCATTTCCATGCTCTTATGTATCGAGAGCACATCAGCCCAGGATGGTAATTCTGTCTTTCCTGTTTGCTACACTTACCTACTTCCCTTAAACTCACCTTCTGATGAAACCCATTTTCCTTTTCATATTATCAAAAAGTTTTTAAAAGCAATCATTAAACCCTAAACGGATGGCAAGTTTGTTTACATTTATTTTTAATATGAGGACTGCAGATTATGGGTTTTGCTGCGAATTATGGCTCACGCAGCCTTGACACAGGCTCAGAGTACTACTGCACCCAAAGAGCATAACTGGGCCACAGCAATCTGTTCCTACCTTTTTTCCTGACTCCACGGAATCAAAATTAGCATAGCTGTCCTCTGACAACAGCCTCTGTTGGGAAGCATCAGCTTGGAACCCCAGAAAATCTTCACTGTCACTGGGGGCATTAAAAATGTCAGCCACATCCTTGGGTATCTGTTTCTGATTAAAAAGACACAAGATATGAGTCACACAGGCCAATTTCATAGGAAAACTCAAATTGGCAACAGTACAACTTATTTTTATACTCCTATGCAAGTACAAATCCGTATCACAAAATATACTATGCGTGAACTGCACTTCATTTAGCTAAACTCCAGGAAAATTCTGTACAGAGTGTTTTATTCCCTAAATACAGACTCCAGATTTGGGGCTAGGGAGGGGATATGATATGCAGGGTGTTTAACTCCACAGAACAGTGCTTCTCAGGTGTAAAAACACGTGTGTGCCTCATCTTTGCAAGCACGTGCTCCGTAGTGAAACCTACCATCGCTCCTCCTCTTACGGAGCAACAATGGCTCAGGGGTGAGGAACACACCTTCAAACAGAACGCAACGCTGAACAAGTGCAAAGAAACCTTACCATGAGATCCGATAACAGTACCGTTACATATTTCAGCAGACACTTCACTAAATCCACAAATAAAACCAACGCAACTCATTCTCCTTTGTCAGTACTGCCACAGAGCTATTTCCGCAACGCATGGTAAGAAAATGAAAACCCATTTTAACAGAGAACACCTCTCGTTTGCTAGCAGCCCAAGGTGTAGGCTCGCCAGGAGGAAGCACTGCCGAGGGTGGGCAGCAGCACTTTCTGAAGTGACCACGGTCACAACTTCAGAGTTCGAGAAGTCCAGTCCCAGCATGCAAGGAGACTTGTTCCACCACATCCAACCATTCCCTCTGGTCATGTACTTCACCAAGCACTTTGGACAAGCCTCTCCATCTAAGGGGCCAGTAAGGAAGCCTTCAGACAGCTCCCACTTAGGCTCCTTTAGGATTTGGTGTGTGGAAGGATGGGATGGACAGATCCAGCCTTAAAAACCTAAGCATTTTGCCAAGTTTCAAAACATGGTTTTATACATCCCAGTACCCTTTGCAAAACCATTCTGTTCACAGAAACGCTCGAGGAGAAAACTGTCCGCGTTACTCACCAGCACCGGGACATTTATCTTCTACATCCCCAGGACCACACATACAGGTCACACACGCTACTCTTACTTGAAGGAAGCCTCTCTGCTGTTGGCTGTGAGCTAAAGCCGCACGCGGATTTCCCACTCCTCTCACTACCTCTCAGGAAGGTGAGATGAACAGCTCCCTGGTGAGAGGGGCCAGTTCCTCCTCCGAAGGAGAAGGTCTCCAGCCCTGAATGTTCAAGAGAACGTCCCTAAGATGAACCCTAGAACCCAGAGCAGCCTGCCCTTGTCCACTGTCACAGTCAACCAAGGTTGCTCATACACAGCCCCATACAATGATTATTTTTTTTCTTTATTTATGCCAAGGCAAATGGCCCAAAGGAGGCTCATTCTCCAAAAATAATGTTGCTGACAAAATTCCACTTCCATTAAAAGCCCAAGCAGCACCTTGACCAAAGCTTCACTCTCTGAAATAAGCTACAGTAATGGGCATACATGGGCTTAATTTTATTCTTCCTCTGCTTCTATAAAGCTGATGTAAACTGATGCAAAACTGATGTACTGTTGCTTGAGCAAGAGCAGAATTCAGTTCTGAACAACTGACCCTCGCAGCCATACCACGGCACGACCCAACGCACTGCTGCAGAAGCCGTGCTGTCCACATTCGAATCCCTTTGGATATTCCCTCACCCCCACCTCTTACAACAAAGAGCCAGAATCCGTCTCCGTTGTTGTGGTGGAATCCACTCAGTACACAGCAGCGTTAAAAATGAAGCATTATGCATTTTAATGAGAAAACACAGAAGGAGCCATGAGCCTTGCTGCTATGAACAAATTACTTCCAGAAGCCACTGCTTTAGTTCTTGTGCTATGTTACAGCTGAGTTAGCCACTGCCGTCATTACTGCATGCCTAACTAATTTCTTCTTCATCTATTACTTCTGCATCTGCACCACAGGAGCTGTTATGGGGGTGTAATTACTGATTTTGAAAGTTATTTCCCAGAAGACCTTTTTTTGATCTTTATGCATTCCCAAATACTAAGGTACCGATTTAAGTAACTTACTGCAGAACTTCAAAGATTTTTAGTTTGTGACTTGCTCCCCATAGCCTGACTACAAAGAATCCCATTCAGTCATTGATGAGCGCCCATTTCACCAAAAGGGCTTAGGCTAATAACAACATCTGACATATACAAGGTGGGCATACTCCAAGAGTTTAAAGAGAGCACCCTCATGACCAAGCTTGCTCATCACCAGTATTTCTACACCTGAAATCACAAATCAAGTTTATTCCCAGTAGAAGTCCATTGCCATCAGCACACAAGGACGAGCTTGCACCAAACACCTCTGCCATGATGGGCTGGTTCACTGTTATTTACTGTGTAGTTCTGGAAGCCACAGACATTTCCACTTTTAACTTTCAATTGAAATACATTCAGAAACCGATTTATAATCAGAATCAGAGCCTAGCATTTTAACTCTGTCAACAAAGTAGCATATACCAAGAAAGAAAATACGTATTTGCCCAAACACAAATGCCAAAATATTAATCTATTCTAAACACATGAAAGATGCAGGCACTTCAAGAGAGGATCTTTTTGCCACTAAAGCCCTTAAAAAGGCAGGAAGGCAGAGAGGTGATGAACATTTTGAGCTTGCTCAGGGAAAATATTTCAACATGAACAGATCACAGGACACAACGGTCTGCTGAAATACTGCAGAGATGTCAGAAATACTGCCTTTTAAAGATACCAGTTACAAAAAGCTAAGTATTGAAACTCTAGAAAAAGCTGGAAATAATTCACAGCTGCTGAAAGACTCGAAGTCTTATTTCTACTAGGAAATTTTATAGCTATTGAGCTCAGTTATTTTTGCACATAAAGTACACTTACTTGTTTAAAACACCCACAAGGTACTTTTCAAAAGCAGGAGCAAACATTCCCCGCTACAAACAGCACACAATCCCACAACTGCCAGAATAACCAACCCTAACTATGTTTTTTTCAACAAAAGATCAAAGTCGAAGACACTTCCATCTCTCAGCTTCCCCTTCTCTAAATTTGACAAAATACCACCAGTACAACCAGGACAGCACCCAGATTATTTGGGCTGCATGGAGGAGAGTTACCGTTCCCACAGAAGCGGGAGCAGGCACCTCGTCTGTGCCCATGGGGGCTGGCAGATCCATCACCAAAGGCCAAGGGTGACAGAGATGGAAAACAAGGCCGGGAGGGATGTCAGACCTGTTTTGGCGATGCTCTCACACTCACCATGCAAGTGATGGGAAAAGTAAGGCACCTGTGATCCCCTCCAATGAAAACAACATTTTTCCAAGTGCCATCCCCATGATTTCCACCTGCCTTGTTAGGCAAGGAAAAAAAGAAAAGCCTGGGGTGAGCTGTTTTACGTTCCACATCAACGGGAAGAATTCTCATGTCTGAAATGAAAAAGCAAGTTTCCTGATACCAAAGCCAAAACAGATGCAACTTGCCCTTCTGCAAGGCAGTGCCCTGGCAGGCTGTGAGGAGAGAACGCTTACTGACATGCACACCCGCCGCTTCGGTGGGAAGCATCAGAGTTATTTCTACCCCACTGTCAACCATATTTAGGCTTTTTTAAGAGGTATTTGTACATATCACTTTCATTGCCAATCATCACACTAGCACATTCTTCTCTGACAATGATGTATCAGGAGAACATACTGTGTGAGAAAGCAGGGCTAGATATAATTCTTTATTTTTGCTCCTGCCATGAAAAAGAAATCAGCTGTGCTGTGTTCCCCGCATTCAAGTTTGTACAATGTATGGACGTTCCTCTTTGAAGCAGAGGACAGATAATTTCAGTAATGTTCAAACTCAGTCAAACTGAAATAATCCCAGTTTAATCTCAAACGTGTACTCACAGAAACCAAACTTGTGCAAAGTCACACCTTCAACACGCACTAGAAAAACTCCTGCCTTGTCCCGGGCTCAGTACAGAGGCAAGCCCAAGGCACAGCACCCAAGGGTTACAGGCACCGGATTTGGCTCGTAGCCCCGAAATAACAACGGAACAGGGAAGCACTCCAAGGCTGACAATTATGGGCAGCGCTACAAGAACAGAGGGCCCCAGCCAGAAGGCCGAATGATGCCAAACCAAAAACCCAAAACTATTTAGAAGTCAAGATCTTGGTCTTTCCACTGGAATCATAAAGGCAAACAGCATTGTCTGAAAGTTTAATTTTAAACATCATGCAAACATGTGAAAGATGTGGAAGGCAAAGAGAGGCAAAGTCACGTATTACCGTGCAGAAGAATCACACAAGTAGACACACAGTCAGTAGGACTGTCAACACCATCCAACCAGCCTGAGACTCAAGGGCAACAAAGAAACAAGGAAGGCAAGGAAGATCACAGGTGATCTCCACCGTTTCTCAACAGCACCAGAACACAAAAACCTGAAACCTTCTGGATGGTGAAGTATATTCCTGGCACGAGTGGCACGAGTGTTCAGAGAAAACAAGGAACAAGTGATACAATCAGTCATCGCACAGTTTTATGACCTTTGCTGGGATACTTTGATTCCACCGAAGGTGAAGATGGATTATGCCTGAGCCTGCACATCTGTCACAGCAACAACTCCTGGGACTTTCAGGGTGGTTCCCCCTGTCCTTGCGAAAAGTTATGGTAATTTTCACCCCAGTCAACCTACCGTTAAATCCAAGTACTCCATAGAATTTTAGTAAATTCAGCTGTTTTCAGAACAGTAGAGTATGGTTTCTACAGTGATTTGTCTAAACTGATAATTAAATAAGCTAAAACCCATCAAGCTAGTTTATCCTAAAATAAAGAATGCCCAACTATCATAATTACATGGGGAGTCATTTAAAATGTTACCTTCCATAGGCAAAATCTACCTGGAAACTATCCCCTACTTTTCAAAAACACTGATAATAACGTGAATATCAGCATGCCAGCACATGAACGCAGTCCAAACACTCTGTCAACTGCTACTATCTCTTCTTCGGTAATATCCAATCTCTCGTAG